AAATGGCCAAAACCCGCGGCCACCACACAACGCACACGGAGCGAGCACCCACCACACCAGCCACACGAAGCAAACAAACCCTCATCCATCCATAACGCGGCACCAAAATTTCCAGCCATCCCGCCCTCAATGGGACACGGAGCCAAACTCAGCGCAGTCACACGCGGTGCACCACACCCGCAGGAAAGGAGACTCGTGCTGCGCACTCCCTCCCTCCCTTCTCCTCATGGCCACGAAAGAAGACAACAGCCGCCACACGCAACTGCCAGCATGCACTACAAAAGGAGCATTCAAATCCACTGCAATGTGCATCTTGTGTGTGTGTGGTTGTGTGTGCCTGCAGAAACACAAAGCAAAAAAGGAAAAGAAAAGAAAGCAACAAATGTGGAGAGACGCACAAAAATGTACAGCGGAGGTGCATGGCGGAAGCAACAAGAAGAAGGCCGCTCAAACTCATAACTGCACCGCAGCCCAAGCAGCGGCAATTCACACAAAATTTATCCGAAACAAAAAAAGGTCCCCTTCGTCTTATATAAACCCCATCACACAAAATAATTATAAATAAAAGAGAGAAATCGCCCATTACTGTTCCACACAAATTTTAAAAAGCTACCGGCTGCCGTGTGGCTGCACCAAACTGTCTGCATATATTTTGCCCGCAAAATGAAATTAAAAAGATATTTAAATGTCTTTCAACCGTCTGACCCTCTGTGTGTCCGCACATCGTTTATATTTCATGGGGTCATCTGCGTGTTGCTGCTCCCCTCAGCCCTTTCATCGGCGCGTGAGTGCGGCCCGCAGAGCACAGTCACTCGTGTGTGTGCATGGGGACTGAGAGAAGCACGCAGACACGACGGCAGTCGCGTCACTCCATCGGGAGAGTGAGCGCAGCAAAAGAAAAAAATCATCAGACGGGAGAGAAATGCTCACGAGGCCGACACCGAAGGGACTGCCGGCGCGAGAAATGCACACGCAAAGCAAAGCAAAAAATCTTAAAAACACGGCGGCAGGGTGTGGCTGTGTGTGTGGCGCTGCGGGTGTCTGCCCGCACTGGCCGCAAAGAAAACAAAACAAGAGGGAAAGAAATGTGTGCTCCGCCCCACAGGCCCTCGTCGCACGCCCACACGTCACGGCTCCCTCAGCGCGCCGTTCGTCGCGGCCCCTCCTCATGCGTGCAGCAGGCGAGGCGCACAGGGCCGTCGTCATGAGCGTGTCGGTGGGTGTGCGAGTGGAGCAGTTGGGCGGGAAACACACGGCACCCCTCACAGGAAGAGTGCAGAAGAAACAATTAAAAGAGGGAAGAGTAGAAAAGAAAAAAACGTCCATAGTGATTGCCCCAAAAGCAAAAAAAAATTTTTTGAAAAAAAGAAAAAAATAAAGAAAAAAAAAATAAAATTAAACTAAAACATTTACCAAATAAATAAAAACAAAGTAGTTACGGTGCTCCGCCCATGCAGCCAGGCAGGACGGCAGCGGTGCGTGTGGTGCAAAAGAGGGCACCAACGGGCATGCATGGGTGTGCATTCATATATAAAATGGGCACATTATGTGTGTGCTTCGTGGGGTGAGGTGAGGGCGAGAGTCAATGCAAGGGGACACACACACACAGAGAGTGAAAGACGAGCGTGTGTGCGGGCGGTGCACGGCTCTCTCTCCCTCACTCTCACGCGGCCACCACCGCAGCAGCAGCCGCACACGCAACAACAACAAGAAGAAGCAAAAGAAGGGAGGTGTTGTGGGAGACCGCGGTGCTGCCGTCACTGTCGTCCGTAATTGCACTTGCATTTGTACCATTAGCAGTTTTTTCTTTCGGGGATTCTTCGCCATTTCCTGCGGAATGTTCACGCTGTTGGTGTTGCTGCTTTTCATGCTGTTCTTTTTCTTGTCGTTCCGGTTCTTGTTCTTGTAGAAGCTCTTGTTTTTCTCCAGAATGGTGTTCGACTGAATTATCCTGATCATGTATTGCTGTTTTTACCTCCTGTTCTCGGATTGTTGTACCTCGCAGTGCTTCTGCTGCTGCCTCTGCTGTCTTTGCTGCTGTTGTTTTTGCGTCTGCTTCCGTTGCTGCTGCTGCTGCTTTTTCTGCTGATGCTTTTGCTGTTGCTATTTTTGCTCTTTCAGCTGCTTCTGCTGATGCTTTTGCTGCTGCCGCCGCCTTTGCGTCAGCTGTTGCTCCTGCTGCTCTTTGTTCTGGTCTTTCCTGCAATCTCGCAACTGGAATAAATAATTCTTTCAGACTGTTGTCGTCCCCACCAGAAACCACACCAACATCTCCATCGGCCACAACGGACCACAGCACGCAGAGGGCACACACCAGCAGCACACGGCCAGTCATCATCATCGCCATCACTCCTGTCACTTGCGTGCAGCCTTCAGCACAAACTAACTCCCCGTCAACGCAGAGTAAAAGCAATGAGAGAGACAAGTCACACAGCCGCGCACACTGTTCCATCCAGGAATGAGAGTCACGCACAGTAAAAAATAAAAGCAACGCAGACAAAAATGAGACAGAAGGAATCAGTACAATTGCAAATCTCGAACGCCGCCCTGCAAAACAGAAGTTCTACAAAGTAAAAAAGCAAAAATTAAAAAACAACGCATCCAAGGCTCCACCGCATGCACATACGGCGAGAGCGGTCCGTCGTGTCGGCACCCCTCACGGAGGGTACGCACAAACACAAGAGGAGGTGCAGCGCCCACAGCAACAAAAAAGCAAAATAACAATAAAAAGGAGAGATCCCCGCACACCACGC